TAGGAATATAGCGCCACCTGCTGCTTTGGCATGTTCCTAGCAGCGTTTTCCTTCGTTTTTGGCTTTTACGTGTGGACGGGATTATTTTTTAAAAAACGGAAACGGAAAATCTCTGTTTTCAAAAATACCCGTGTACGTGTGGACGTAGCCTAAATCAGCTGTGTTGGATCAAGGACACATCTAAAACCTGCAGAACACCAGCCCTCGAGGCCTGGAGTTGGACACCACTCATCTAAACACAGAGGGCATAGAAGTTTGTGCAAACTGTCAGTTAGAAGTCTAAACCTCAGCCTGCCCGACTGAAAATTGTAATTTCCAAATGATTAATGGAAAATTTAGATTTAACAACCTGGTGTGGCGTGTCCAAATAATCGGGCTCTAACTATATATAACCAACAGATGTTTGACAAACACAAAAACAATGGCAGATGACGCTAATGTAAGATGTAACCGAATGGAAGAAAAATTTAGGACAAGTCTCAGAAATGCTCATCATGCAAAATATCTGACGTTCTTCATGAAACACGTGTTACACGTTACACTTCTCCTGAAGGGCTGTGCTGCAATATAAAGTGGAATCTGAGGTATTTCAGTATTCTGTGAGTTAACATAAAGATTTTCTCGATCTGATTCTTGGTTTGGGTAAATATGAAATGAGTTTAGTTATTTCTGACCACAGAGGAAAATAAGACAGCTTATCTGAAGCGTACACACTAAATAACGATGTGGATACGGCCTCGTGCTGCACCCACACTGGTATGTTTTGCCTTTAAAATCAAAACTAGGTTTAGAGCGATGAAGAAGAACTCCGTGTGTTTTCCTGGCACTGCAGAAGTAGGGTATGGTTGGTCAGCGCTTTGGGAGAACCTGTCAGGAAGGTTTAACATCCAGTCTGGACCCAACTAGGTCAGTGGCGAGCTAGCCTTCATTTGTATGCAAATCCATGTAGATTTGCTGCTGATAAGGTTGGTTGGATCTTCGGGCATGAGCGGGTTACAGGCACAGAGGATCCAGCACAAAGTTTCTCTTCCTCTCTCTATCCTACTCAGTAATAAGCCTAACCTTTATTCTCCAGGGAAGGACGTCGTCTCTCCCTTATCGTCAGTTTCAGTCAGTTTGACTGAAGCTATGATATAAA